TCGGCAACCCAGTACAGCACATGGTATTTAACACGATTTTCGTCGGCAACGCAGTACACGGGTATCGCAACGTCGCCGTGACCGGGGCCCAACTGTTCCAACTGTTGCTCAAGGCTTATCTCGCCGCATAATTTCACTAACCTGCAAGAATGCGGAACAGAATCTCACAGATTTTCATAAGTCGCATTCAGCCGTCATCAAGTCCTGCGATTGTGACAACCTCTCGTTAGAGACTCGTGTCCTCAATAGATTGTTTAATGACGGGTTAGTCTGACGCGGCTGCAACTAGTGGTTTTTACCTAAATAAATCCGGCAAATCTCATGTCCAAACGACTGAGGTGGAGTCCGTAGTATGCTTTAACCTGTAATAGGGTTTGTGTATCAGATTATGACCTAATATTGTATATAGTACCTTTCAGCCAAAAAACAAATACAGTAACGTGGACGAGATACATGCCGGTATTAGTCTAAGCCTCACCTTTCATATAGTGATTTTTCATTTAATTTCAATCTTGCATGTGTCAATTTAGGTTTCTTTGTTAAAATGTATGGTTCAAATCGTCCATGTACAATTGGTGCAGACGACAATTACTTCGTTTACATTTGGTAACTGTGATGTGTGGCTAAATATTTACGAAATTTCCATTGGTGTTCAAAATTGATTTTCACGCGAGTTTCCAAACATTGTTTATACCCAAAATATACAAATTTATAAAAAATGTGTGAGTGAGGTAACTTGTGTGATGTACCCAGCACCGAAGTGAACTTCAGTCGGTACAATAGCAAAAACGTGGCATTTCGGATCCAAACGATGTTCTTGGAAAAACTATCTAGTTGAACATCCACCATTGGTGAACAGACTGACCTCTTCAGGACTTTTCTTTTTATGTCTTTGGTGAGCTATATGAGGCATTGAATAACTTTGGGCCTGTATGGATCGTCTTTTACTCACAAGGCTTTAAACAAGTGCAGCAGCAGGAACGTTTTGATGAGTTCTTTTGTTGTCCAAATAGTCGGTGTTTCTAGTTTATCCAAACCTTATGTCCAAATTCTACTACAACTCCATCAGGTCTACCTAACAACCTTCCTAGGTCTTTTCCGGAAGTGTGGCCGGCCTAGTAAAACATGCTGTTTCAGTCGGTCTGAATACGGCAATAAAGATTGCCGAAATATGTAACCATCAATATCAAATTAAAGTGCTGTATGACAGAGTTAACGTATTTATATGGCTAGTTATACATAAATTTTAATGTGGAGGTATTCATTGTGCACCGTTTATTATCACATTGCCTGGAGGAATAACGAAGATAAGAGCAGGACATTGGCAGAGATGTCCGATTGAACCACTTTCCCCATTGCAACATTCCTCTGTACTTGGCCGAGTTATCATAGTGACCAAGTGTGCTGCATTAGGTGCTCATGGCGTGCTTACTTGTGCTGCGCTTCGTGCTGCAACTAACACTACTATTTACCACCAGCAGTCATTACGCTGCTATTTTACCGGCTGAAGGTCACTTTTACAAGCTGAATGGAATTTTTGTCAAAGATTTGTTGAGAGAGAGATACTTTAATTTTCATCCAATTGAGCAGAACCTATTTCTTGCTTTATTTGGATCTCATCTAAACCAAGATGAACAAAAACTACAAGTAAAAAATTGAGGAATTGGTTTAGTTGATCCGAAATGCATGGAAATAAGAGGAAAATAAGTATTACAGAACATGAAGAACACTTGTTACTAAAAAGAACTCAAAAGAGGCGGAAAGATTAGAAGAAGAATACATTTTGAAACCATGTATTCAAAATCTTCATCAAAGCAGCAAAAAATTATCTTGTGAGGAGCAAGTACTAAAGCGGAGCACAATGGATAGTTATCATGTGTTCCATTGAAAAAACTAAAATTGGACTTTTCTCCAATAGAATTCAGAGATGCTCTTGCCCTAAAATATGGAAAAACTCCTGTCTCTCTTCATGCGATAGCTGTGGCAAAAACTTTAGTATGGAACTGTCAATCACTGTTGATCATAAGAAGACATAATGAAGTAAGAGACACTCTTGGAAGTTTGATGGTGCTGGCATGGTGAAACTTTGTTCGAGAACCACTATCTCTGAGCATATGGTAATTGAATCCTGCACCTCCCATACGAAATTGTATTGGAACATACTGAAAAAGGGAAGCAAAGAAAATACATGACACTTGGCAGAATCAAGAAACGCTTCTTTCACCCCACTACTTACTTCTGTAGACGGAATGCTAAGCAAGGAGTTCCGGACCTTGCACAGAGCAGTGGCAAAATGACTGACAGAAAAATGGAAGAAACAGTGTGGTGATGATCTGGATAACGGTAAAAACCATCTGTGCGACATTAAGGGCCAGCAAAGGGGGGGAGTATGTGTCTGAGGAGAACACGAAAGAAGTGGAGGACTCGCTGAGAATTTTAATATGGGGCAAAAATATTGGTATTTTATTCATTTAATTAGCCTTTTTTGTTTATATTAACTGATTGATTAATATTATAATTATATTTTTTATTAAATGTATTGGGAGTTTCATAACACCAACACCTTTATCAACTAGGGAGTCCTATCTAGACGGAATATCCAGCCCATGTATTCATGCAAATCAATTCATTCCATCAATTTTATCGACAAGGGGGTTCATCTTGAATGATAGTCCAGTCAATGTATTCATTGCAACCATTTTATAACAACTTAATTAACTAGGGGGTCCATCTTGAAGGTTTGTCCAGCAAATTTATTCTTGCAACCATTTCATTACAACAACTTAATCAACTAGGAAGTAAATCTTGAAGGTTTATCCAGCCAATGTATTCTTGCAGCCACATCATTACAACAAATTTATTAACTAGGGAGTATATCTTGAAGGTTTGTCCAGCCAATGTATTCTTGCAATCATTTCATTACGACAACTTAATTAACTAGGGAGAATATCTTGAAGGTTTGTCCAGCCAATGTATTCTTGCAACCATTTCATTACGACAATTAAATTAACTAGGTAGTCTATATTGAATGTTTGTCCACCCAATGTATTCATGCAACCATTTCATTACAACAAACTTAATTAACTAGGGAGTATTTCTTGAAGGTTTGTCCAGACAATTTATCCTTGCATCCATTTCATTACAACAATTAAATTAACTAGGCAGTTTATCTTGAAGGTTTGTCCAGCCAATGTAATCTTGCAACCATATTATTACGACAACTTTATTAGCTAGGGAGTATATCTTGAAGGAATGTCCACTCCCATGAATTCTTGGAATCCATTTCATCAACTGTATCATCTAGAGAGTTTCCCTGGAATAAATACAAAAAAGTAATAGATGTTTAGGAAATATTGAGCAGGAGTAGTGTTAAATGCCGTTTTTTTTACCATAGGATCTTTTTTAAATGGTAGTCAAGGAAGAGGAATTGTGGAGGGACAGAAGATGGAGAGGCCTAGTGAACACCTAGACCCGGAGATAACCGGAATGGGAGAGGATATGTATTTATGTAAGTATCCATGAAGGCAAAATTGGAAGGAAGAAGACCCAAGGTAATACCAAGAACTAGATGGTAGGATCATGTCTAGCAGGCCATGAGACTTTTGGGAATTAAATATTTGAAGATGCTGAGGACAGAGATTGACGGAGGCGCTGTGTTGCTGAGGCCAAGTAACAACGGGGATACAAATGGCCAAGACAGTCTATTTCCTAGGGGGTTTTGGTAAAATTTGGGAATTTACACCGCATGAACTATGCAATAGGAAGTCTATCTATTTGCAGAGCAGCTTTAGGAACAAGTTACTAAAGCATTATTTTGCCCAAACAGCTTTTTAGAACAAATAGTATATTTCCATGGTAATTTCAGAAGTTGGATTATTGAATACACTTCCCATCCCAGCAACTTATTACATAGGAAGTATTTTACCCCACAATTTACAAAAGCTTCATTCCTACAAACCATTTCTAACCGGCCAAATTTGAATTCTAAATCAAAATAAATAAAACCTGAAAGTGTTTAGATTTATTATTAACAAAATATCCAAGGATGTTACAGATTTTAAACTTATAACATTTTTGTCACCAGTTTCTTATGCTTAAGAAATGTAAAATATGTGTCAAATGTATAATGTGTCAAATGTAAAATAGTGTTAACAATACGAGAAGAAATTTAAGAAGGTGAGTGCCAACCACTAATTGCATTGATCATTAACAAATAAATTGGTAAACTGCTGATTAGTTGAAGTTCAAGGCATTACAATTTTACTTCTTTTCCCTCAATCCTTTAACCTCATTGGTCATTTTACTCATATTGTTAAGGCCCGGTTTCTCCAACGCAGTTTAAACCAATGCTGGCGTTTAAGCTGTGGTTTAAACTTGAAAAGTGTTTCTCCAATGTCTTTGACAAGCTTAAACCGAAGATTAGTTTAACCATAGATAAAACATACTCCCTTAGTAGATTTCTCATCCTTATGGAACAGCTGAAGACAATTTTATTGTTAGTTCTGTACGGTTTTCTGTAGAGGTCGTGTTTTGTTTACAATTTGTTTCCCGTTATTACAGCCATTTAAAACCTCGTTTAACCAAATAATACGATCTAATCATAAACAATAACCTGTCCCCTAGTTATATAACCACACAGTAAAGCACAAATCAAGAAATTAACCCTAAAATAATAGAAACAAAGTTTCGTCGACACTAGCGCCCATGTGTCACGTACATGAACTAGACACGAAAAACGTGCTTCAAAATTTACAATGGGATGAGACGTCTACTTGTGTTGGTTAGTCTATGGTTTAACTTCATTCAGGACCATGGTTAAACCAGTGAGTCAAGTTTAAACTACAGCTGTTAGCTATGATATGTTGTCAAATATTGTTTACATTAATAAAATAAATAAATAAAGTCTTCATTTGTCAAGTCTACACCAGATTGTATGCATTTTTCTCACTTTAGTTATTTACTTTTCTATTTGTGCCCCAAAATCTATGTCCTAACATATAATGGAGGAAGTCATAGATATTCTGGATGGGATAGAAGACGAAGATTTCGAAGAAGTAGTTCAAATTAGAAGAGGACCAACAAAAATTCGAACAAGAATTGACCATTTTACAAAGTGGGATGAAGCAGAGTTTTTTGCCAGATATAGGATGAGGAAGAGAACGGCTAATATAGTGTTGGAATTGATCAAAGAGGAAATAAAGTGTGCAACAATTAAAAACAGAGCAATATCTCCTGAAATGAAGTTCCTAGTCACACTCAAGTTCTATGCTTCAAGTGGTTTTTTAATAAATGTAGGGGATCAAAATGGCATTCATAAATCAACAGTGAGCAAAATTGTCAAACAGGTATCAGAGGCTATTGCACGGTTACGTCCACAATTCATTTGTATGCCATCAACACAAGAAGAACAGTCAAAGACGAAACTTGGCTTCTTTGAAATAGCTCGGTTCCCAAACTGTGTAGGCGCTATCGACTGCACTCATGTAAAGATTTTGTCTCCAGGTGGTGACAACGCAGAGTATTTTAGGAATAGAAAAGGTGTTTTTTCAATAAACGTACAAGGGGTTTGTGATAGTTCCCTGCGCCTTACAAATATAGTAGCCAGATGGCCTGGCTCAACCCATGATGCCCACATCTTTACTTCCTGTCAGCTTAAACAAGAATTTGAAAATGGACTGTTTGGAAACGGTGTGTTGGTTGGAGATAGTGGTTATGCCTGCAGTAATTACTTAATACCCCCTTTAGAAAATCCAGTTCTTTGAGAAGAGCAACTGTTTCAGGAATCACAGATCCGTACAAGAAATCCTATTGAACGTTGTTTTGGTGTATGGAAAAGAAGGTTTCCAGTGTTAGCCCTAGGAATAAGACTGAAGCTAGATAGACTGGAAAGTGTTTGTGTTGCTACAGCAATATTACACAACATATGCATTATGGAAGGTGATGATACTCCGCCTGTTTCTCCTGATGAATTAGCTGCAATTGAAGCTCTTCATGATCTGCTAGGAAATGACGGCCAAGTTCCAGAAAGGCAGAGGCAAAGAGGAGGAAATGGACACTTACAGACCCGCAACAAACTAATTTACGAATATTTCAGAAATATGTAACACAGATAGGCCTAAGAAGTATGGCCTTTATTTAAATCTGTTTATTGTAAAAGTAGGTCCTTATTTGATTTTGTTTGTTTGAGGACAGTCTGATTTTTAAAAATATTTATTTTTTATTTTTAAGATTTTGTGTATTTTGCATCTTTGGAATTTTGTGTAAATATATATCATAACTCACTTTTTAAATGTTAACATAGTATAAACAAACTGTAAAAAATGTGTACAATGCTTTTTTACAAGGGCTCGGATGGCAACGCCTTTGGCCACCGGGAACTTAAACTGAAAATAGAAAGGATGCCGGGGCTCATCACGCCAACCAGCTGCACTGGGCTCAACACGCCCAGTGCGGGGATGGGGAAGCACCAGGCTCAACACACCATTTTACATTGCCAAACCTTGGCCTTCTTAAACATTTCATTACAAGTACAAATAAGTAAATAACACAACATATAATTCAACTGAGAGAAATATTTTTTATACAATCAAAAGAAATTTATTAACAAACGTAAGTTAACATGTTTTTTAATGAACACTGTGACATGGTGATAACTACTTATGCATAATTTCCGCTTAAGTTTAACTGGTTTTTTAATTTTACCTCTTCATTTTTTATTTTTAACTGAACTAATCTTCTTTCTTCCTGGAGTAGTTCCATTTTCATGCTATGCTCTTCCTTCTGCATTTTTATTTGTTCTTCAACCATTCTCTTCTGAAGGCCAAGAAGTTCTTCCTTTGCCTTCGCTACTAATTCAATCTTCTGGCCAGCCCTTGAACTGTCTATTATTGTTTTTAGCGAATTTCCCATATAGGGAATAAGCTATTACCGTAGTACTCATGGTAAGACCTGGACGCGGGACCGATTTTTTTTTTCGTTTTGAGGTCCCTAGAGACCAAAAACACCATCCGTTCAAATTTATATATATATATATATATTTATATATATATTCCCAGCCCTGCAGGGAAAGGCGGCCATTCTATATGAGCCTGGAGAAGCGGCCAGGGGGACCCCCACCTATATTCGTAGGATATAACCTCAAAAGCATTTTTGATTGCAGAAAAGCCATCCATAGATGTTCCCGCTTCTATATATGTCTACTTCAAACGTCACACTTAATTAAAAAAATTGCGTTATATATCACTCAAAACACTAAAAGGCGCCCTGGATAAAAATCAGGGGAAGGAGGCCACCTTGAAGTAAGCAGGGAAATAAGGCCATTAGCTATAAGTGTTATATAGTAAGGAAAAGACGACCAGCAAGCTATATTTGCCTGAAATAGATGCCATTAGCGTTTATTTCGAAAAGGCAATATGGTTGAGAAATTATAGGAGTCGTGTAAAGTTTACAATTAATTAACATAGCTATAAGTTGTACTTTGTATACTGTATAATAATTATAGGCCTAAATTTGATACAATTGTTTTATCAGAAGAGATTTGTAACTGTACAGGAAGATGATAAACTTTTAAAATTTCAAATCAAAATTAACTCTAAAATTCTTAGAATTTTTTGTACTAACAAAATATTGAGTGAAGAATTAACCAAATCGGGACTATGTCGAATACACATCAAATCGTTGCTTCTCTAAAAAAAACAATAATTCGGCTTAATGTCAAAACGAACCAGAATTTCTTTAAATTATTTTAAGAGAAAAGGAAGTAGCCCTTTCATCATTGACCCATAAATTGTACAGTATATTACAATATAGTAATACTAGAGAACCCGTGCGGCTCAATGAGCCGCATAGTATGAAACATAATCCCGAGGAAAACATTAACGTTATGCTTAAATTAGAGTTATTCTAGTTAAATCTTAGAGTTGTTTAAACACTTGTTAGAAACTAATTTTAAATATCTATATTTGCGTCGTCAAGGTTCACCTACATTATTTCTGCTCTCAGTTTTAACTGATAAATAACTTCTAATGAATACTAAACGATCTCCTTCAATTCGAGTTAACATGATGCGAAAGTTTTTCCAGCATTGTGAATTGAAGAAAACTGTTGCCTTACTGATAACCTGTGTTAAGTAATTTAAGTTGGGTCATTTTATTTCTTTGATTTGAGACATCCTCCTAATAAAACAAATTTTCTCCTTATAGAGAATCCTAAAAAGTGGGGTGATACAGAATCAACCATTTCATGTGCTCCATTTTTTACTTACAAACTCTGGGTTACCAACTGGACAGCACTAATCCGCTTTGAATAGGCTAAGGCAGCAACACCATTGAATGTTGGTTAACTATTTTAACCAAGTGAATGTATATCTGGATAGGTATCTGTGAATGTATATCTGGATAGGTATCTGTGAATGTATATCTGGATAGGTATCTGTTAGACCCGGCCGCCTCTCTATATCCACTCTCTTCATATGCATAAGATATCTTATTATTAATTGTCTCATTCTCCCGTTTTAAATATTTCTTCTTTGAACTTGAGGTATTTTCTGTTCTTCCAACATAGTACAGTGCAATTAGCTTAAAAAAAGAGCAAACCGGGACATCAAAAAAAAAAAGTTTCAAACCAGCGCCAAATTGTTGAATACACTTCCCTTCATATGTAAAAAAAGTTACACTGATTTGAGTGTCGGGTTTGGGGGGAGAGGGGGTGAAAATGGGGTGAAAATAGGACTTTTTTTACTTTTTCGCAAATATCTAAAAAAAATGGCGCTTTTTTCTTACAATACAATGAATTACAAAAATAATCTACATTAAATTTCGAGCAAAATGATAACAAAATTGCACCGTACTAACAAAACTGATTAACTGTTTACTTGGTCTTAACCTCCTGAATATTACAAACATTAATATTTACTCCCAAAAAGCTAATGAGTTTCTTTTTATAAACAGCTGTTTTTTGTTTTAAAATTTGTTCCATGTATTTCTTATGGGGAAAACCCGACCTTTGAGAAGGTCTCACGCCCTTAAGAGTGGGAATTTCAAAATTCTAAAACCTTATTGCAAAACTACATATTGAGACGAATCTTTTGACACCTTAAACGTTGAAATTGGTCCACAACTAAGGGAGGAGTTGCGTTAACAAAAAACGGCTTCACGTATTATATATATATAGATATAGATATAGATTTTAATCAAATCGAAAAAAACCGGTTTTGTTAGTGTAAAACCAAATGATTATGGACTCAAGCTTTCTAAAAATCCATATATAAACGATCTTTAACCAAACAGTGCTCTGGGTCACCGGAGCAATATCAGTGGCATAAAATGAACTTCCTGGATCGTGTGGCAGGAAGATCAGCGGTGTATACATTAAATAACAGGGGGCGAGTACCGACCCCTGAGACGCAGAGATCAAAAAGATTGTAGAAGTAAATTTGTTACAACCATTTCATTTAATGAAAAATATATATTTTTATTATTTTGTTATGTATTAACAAAGACAAAAATAACAAAAGTGCTCCCAACCCTAAGTCGGGCAATACTTCTCCTAACCACAGACAAATTACAGCCTTCTTGCAATCATCTTAAGGTTAGAATTTTGGAAGTTGGACACATTTGCAAACTCTCCTACCTGCTTACAAAAGATTAAAATAGGCCTATAAATATTTTAAGGTTCTTTTTAATTGTTTACATGGGATAGAGAAGATCAAACCCGTAAATCGTAGATTATTATTACAAACTCTAGTTTTTCAAAATAACTAGGTGTTATTAACTTTTTATCTTTAACTTGTTATCTTCACCCAAAATAGACTATAACCTCAATTGCACATGACGGGAAAAGTTTTACTGGTATGATTTGGATAATGGCCAACTGGACATTAATCTTACTAATATTATAAATTTAAAAGTTTGTTTGTTTGTATGTTTGTATGTTTATTTATTTGAAGCTCAATCACGCATTAACCACTGGTCGGATTAGGTTTAAATTTGGTATGATGATAGCTCACATTCCCGATTAACATTATAAACATATTCTTATCTCAAAAATCCTTTCGGTCTCCACCCCACTGGCTCTAGAATTTCTCATGTTAACCTTATGAGCATTCATATTTTTAAAATAATCAAAGAATTTTGCCAGCTGTTTCAACTACACAAGTTGGTTCTACTATGGTATTCAATAGCATTAAAATGTTATAATGTTTACCAACAGGGTGCATCGCTATTAAATCCTTTTTTTCATTTATGAACCAAGCAGCATCAAAAAGCTGTGCGAACTTAACTTTTTTCTATTGTAATAGTGCAGTGGTAGAACATTAATATTATGGTTATGGTGCATGTGCTATAATTATAGTATACCAAAAATTTTAGTAAACCAAATTTTCTGAAAACGTGTCCTCTCCTATTGTAAACGCAAAGCACGAGTATAACTGTAATAAGCATTTTATACTTATACTCCAACCCCGTACGAAGGACGGGGGTACTCTGCTAGTAGGCTATAAAACGGTTGAAACACCTTAGTCAAACTGTGGCTGAATAAAAAATATTCTTGCATCCTTTACTTAATCATTCAAACATTTAAATGACAATTTGATTAGTAAAATTTAGAATCGTTAGTCCCAAAGTTAACCGATTAGGATTCAGGCCAGGCTTACCCTGTGTCTGTAGGAAGTTTAGTGGGTTTACATATACCAACATCTGAGAGGATATCCTACACCGTTCTCTTTAGGTTCGCTCATAAAGTGTACCTTCTATGAATGAATAAATAAATAACCAATATTTTTAGTACCAATTGTTGTAAATTACTAGCAACTAATCCGTGCTTCACAACATAGGGTGAAGATTAAAAAATCTTAAAATTAATAATACTTTGTCTTATATAAACAAACAATGTCACTTTTTGTTCTATTTTATTCTAAGGATAACATGGAACTTTAAGGAACTCTGTCCTCTAGGTTGGAGACCTAGACATTTTTATATCAAAATAGCTTACTTTTCATATTTATTTCTGCCCAAAGTACAAAGTGTACAAAATGTCAGCTGACTAGATAAATAGGAAGTTGGAGCATTAGTAATGAGTGAGTCAGTGCATTTTATGTAAAGTTACATTGTTTCAGCTCCTATATTTGATTTTGTGCATATATACAGGTTGTTCAAAAAGGTGGGGACATAATGTACGTAGTGATTCCTTGGGTCAAAATAAAATAAAGAGAAAATCAAGAATAACATTTTTCCCAAAATCACTCTTTAACACTATTTGTGCTGTCGACATGTTTGAACATAAAAGTTGCATTTATTTCAATGTTAAGCAATTGCGGGAATTCCCGTCATCAGCACCCAACGTGTTAACCAGATATTTGCCATTTTGTATTTTTTACATAAACATTTTTATCTTTGAAAATTTTCAACTGATCTTTATGAAACTTTGTATGAATGTTAAGGTAAAAGAGACCCCATGTTTGACTAAAGTTCATTTTGATCCAACTAAAAATTCAAAATGGTGGCCATTTAAATTGTTTAAACCCAAATTAATCAAGAATGGCTGATTTCATGAAAAAATGTCAGGAACACTTTTATTTACAATACCAAGCTAAAAAAGTTCAAATAAGAAATAGCTGAAATATTACGGGTTTTAAATGGGGCAAACCTGCCTAGCGTCTGCCTTATTCTACCCCTTTTACAATTAAAAACCGTAATATTTCAGCTATTTATTATTCGATCTTTTTAAATTTGGTATTGATTGATAGGGAACTAAAATTGCTAGGTAAAAGTGTTTTTTAAATTGTTTCATATAATCAGCCATTTTCGAGTAGGCCTTATTTAAGTAAAAAAGTTAAAAAATAGCCGTCATTTGAACATTTAAGTTGGATCGAGATGAATTTTGTTTCAAACATGGGTCTCTTCTACCTTAACGTACATACCAAGTTTCATTAAGATCGGTTAAACAAATGCAAAGATAAAATTGTTTATGTAAAAAATACAAAATGGTGGATATTTGGTTAATGTAGTGATTTTGGAAAAAATGTTATTCTTGATTTTCTCTTTATTCTGACCCACGGAATCACTACGTAAATTATGTCACCACCATTTTGAACATTCTGTATATATAATGTTATGGCATGCAGATATTCAGTTAACTATGGTCTTTCATTTGATGTATGGTGCATATTTTTCATTAGTGTGATCTAAAGTGAAGAGCTTAAAAAAAATACAAATTTATATTCTTTTGTATATTTGCTTTACAATATGATCATCTTAAATTGAATTAAATATATTTTAAATCAATATGTTTTTAACACAAATTTTATTTTAGAATTAATTGTGTTAGGTTAGGCTAATTGATAGTTAAAATCAGACACAAAATAAGGCGAGAGTTATAGACCTATCTCCAAGCGTAACATATTTTAGAATTTTCCTTAAAACAAACTTTTTATATCTATCAGATGAGGTGAAGGCAAATGCACTGGTGAAATGCCAAAGCATTTCGAGGGAGAATGGATTGAAACTAAGCCTAGGTAGCAGCACTGTACTATGTGAAATAAAATTGTAATATTAGGGGGTAGGCAGCCCTGCACAATTCAAGCGTAATGGCCGCCTAACCATGTTGGTCTGGAACTATATATATATATATTTATATATATATATATATATATATTTATATATATATATATGTGTCCGTTAGCGCGATAACTCGAGCAAAAATGATCCGATTTTGATGAAATTTGGTACAAACATGTAAACCTACATTTATTCGAACGAGTTCGGGATCCAGCATAATCGGACCATGGGAACAGGGGTTTATGGGGGGTTTTCCCATTTTTGACCCTAAAAACAAAAAATTTTAGAATTTCTTTCCCAACCATTTTGTAGAGCTTAAAAAAATAAATAATTTAGTATATTGAAGCATTGTTGTATGCCAAACGGTCACGGAGAAAATTAAAAAAAATGCAAATTTAAAATGCCCATGTTATCCTTATGGAAAAAATGAAAACTGTTGTAGTTTACTTGTTTATGGATATATGTTGATCAAATTTGGCAAACTTATTTATTTCATCCTATACTATTGTTGTTTGGTTAAAAAACACTGTTTATGTTCCCCGCAGCAGCAAACCTAAGCACTCGTTATATCTAATGTTATTTAAATTGGGAATAAATATGTCTTATTTATGGAAGTATTTTAGTAAATATGTAATCAGACAAGTTGAAATTCGCTTAGTCTGCAGGTTTGCTGCGGCGGGGGTATTTTTTATTTTTAGTAAATAATGGTGCAGATTTTTGTGTCCTAAGGCTGGCAATTGAAAAATCTTTACCAAACCCACAATGCTTTGCTGGTGTTGTGACGAATACCTTTGAATCAGGGATATTCCTTGGTACTATTCCCTGTCTCTGTAATTTCGATTTCTACAGGTATGCTCAGGTTATTCGCAATCTCTTCCTCACCCACAACTTCGATTTCGTCCATCTCAAAACACTGGATCCTGTCCTCAGCATCATTGTCAAACCTTGTTTGAATTCCAAATAATGGGAGCTCCCCTAAAATTTCTTTTACCTTGCAATCTGTTTCTGTAATAATACTCGGTGGTTTGTAGGAGCCTCCACCAGTGCCTAAAACAAACTTTTTGTCCTCAGCCAACTTTTTTTTGGAAGTTTTCTTTATATTGTCGTATTTTACTTTTAGAGATTTCCAGTCTCTGTAAATCTGCCCGCTTTCAAGGTTGAAATCTTTTTCTATTGTTCGCCAAGTTTCATCTTTTTCTTTGAGCGTTATATGGTCGCTTCTTTTACATTCTAAAATGTCCTTGTATTTTCTCACCAAATCTAATAACAAACTAACCTCACTTTCCTTGAAATTTTTAGTTCTTTTTAGTCCATCCTGTGATTGGGTTTGGTCCATTTTATCAGAGAAACACTACTTATGGAATGTTTAAACTATACACTAGACACAGAAAATAGCCAAATAGTTAAAAAATTCTTACAATTTAATAACATCAACTTGAGTCAATATAAGGTTAAACACAGTTAGCACTGTAAACAAAAACAGATATTTACACTCTGAGCTATGAAATAAACAAACAGGGCTGCCAACTTACTCGCACCCCAGCTTAAACTAAACCTCCTGGGTAGTACAGTTGGAGAAACGACAAAAAAGTTAAACTTAGGTTTAATCTTTTATTTGGTTTAGTTTAAACGTATTTGGAGAAACCGCCCCTAAGTAAAACATTGCTGTTAAGTAAACAATGCTGTTAAGTGAATCTTTTCAATTCTAATAACTGAACTGAAATGGCTAGTTTGAAAAAGGTCGTAGGTAAATACTTTTAACTGTTAGACAGAGGTTATAGAAACTAATATAAAATAAACACCAAACACACTATAAATATATTTGTAATTTCCATTTCACTTTAGATATGGGACATTTTGCTAAAACTATTGACAGTCTTCTGGGTATGGTATGAAACCAAAAATATAGTAAGTGATAATCACAAAACTAGTTCTCTTCGCTGTGTTTTTGGCAGTAAAAACACATACAATGTGGTATGAGTGTTTATTTATAACTATGTTAGCACAGGTAACTTAAAGCATTGTAACAATCATTCAAACGTCCACACTAAGTTCATATCCTAATTTAAGCCCTGTACACACCGGAGCGATACTTTATCGCTGGGGACGCGCGATACTATTCCTAGAATTTTATCTGCGATACTTGGGCGATAATATCGCAGAGAAAACAGGTGCTTCCACACCAGAGCGGGAAAGGGACGCGCGGGAAAGCCAGTACACCTCAGAGGGTGCGGTGGTTGTGAGACTCTAGTTGCAAAAGTGTTGTGTTATAGTTAGTGTTTTTATACTGTACTGTGTGTAAACTTAAAACTATGACATGGTCTGATGAAGAAGAAGCTTTTCTGTTAACTAGCCGTGCTATTATAGAAGATGAGAGAGCAAGGAAAATGTGGGTATACGACATAAATAAAGAACGGCTGCGATTTGGCGAGTACCGTATACGCTCATGACCCAGTTAAGAAAAGATTAAACAAGATTCTACATATTTTGGAATTAATCAGGAATGTTTTGACAAGTTGCTGAGTTTGATTTCTGGCATTATCGAAAAGGAAAGTACCCACTACCGTGAAGCGAGTGCCGAAGAACGGCTAGCAATCACTTTTAAGGTTTTTTTTTTCCTAGGACGCTAGGCACGAGTCTGACTAGCAAAACCTTTACAATATGCTGTGCTATAGCTAATACAATATTGTATGAACTATTAAATAGTAATTGGAATCCTCATCAAACCAGTATTAAATACGTTATTCTGTCAGCAATCACCCAACATTGGATTGACATCGGCACTGGAAAAACTATTGATAATTCAAATCAAATGTTTAAGTGTTAAAATAATTAATAAATCCAAGACGTCTGAATGTTTGGGAATTCTATTGTAAATTCTTCAGAAAAACGTAGTTTAATAACAAATAATGAAGACGAACCCTATTTTAAATTTCTAGTTGCTAAAACGTGATATAAATCATAGTGCATCGGGTATGTATGAACAACTTCAAGTAAATGTTCGGTGATACACGACATGTTGTTGTTGTTTTTACACGTACAGAGAAAAGACAAAACTGAGTAGTTCATCGTTTGGCCACATTGGTATCGCCGCGATACAGCGCTGCAAACAGTGCATGCAGCGTTACCGCGATACTATCGCTACGGTATCGCATTCGCCTCGGTATCGCGTATCGCGGTTCGCTCTGGTGTGTGCGGCTCCATAAGGCTCCATGGTATCGCACGGACCACTGGTATCGCAAGAGAATTTCCAAGAAAAAGTATCGCGCCCGCTCCAGTATCGCACGGAGTATCGCTCTGGTGTGTGCAGGGCTTTAAACAGATATCTAACGACATAAAACTACATAAAATAGTAGCTAAAGTTAACAACAAGTGGTATAAGTAACTAACTAACCTGCAAAATATGATTTTAATTTGTAAAATATAATATTAATATAGGTTGGGAATATTTAAAACCTATACAATCTATATATTAATAGGTATGCATGTTTCTTTGAAAAATGTTTTATCTCAGCTTGTGTGAATGGCAGAGAAAATCTATGCATGCTGTTAGAAATATATTTTCCTGTAGAGTGCAGAATCTCTTTACAATTAATTTCAAAAAGGCTCAAAAATAAATATTAAATTCGAGAAAAATTCACATCGGCCTTATGGGTTGTCATGTTGGTGACGAAATAACAAGAAAATATAAACATAAAATCAAAACAAATGAAAGAAATTCCATTCACATGTTTTATTTACAGCGTGGGGTGAAAATAGAGAAATCTGTACATTACATATTTTTGGTCGAGTTTTCGACCACTCTCCGACCACTAGTAGATTATTAAACACTCAAGAAAAGTTTTGTTTATTTTCAAGTTTTTGTTGAGTTCAAATTACACCCTAAACATGTAAATATTCAGCCTCAATTATTGAGTACACAAGGCTTCATACACCTTTCCTCAGAGGAGTTAAAATTAAGATAACACTAATAGAAAATAAATATAATTAGGATTCATAATACAGTAGGTAGTTACAACACAAAACAAAAAGAACACCTTACATGTAGACGTTCTACCGTTGAACATTCTCCAAGTTACTCTTGAGTAAAATTACGCGATAGTCTGCCTGGTACCTAAGAGTTTAACCAATTTTAAACTATTGTAACCATTTAAATTAATAATTGCTACAATTCCCTATAATGATCACTGGCCATGATCATAATAACATATTCATGGAATTTTAGGAGCTCCTTCCATGAGGGATACCACAATTATTACAGTTAAACATGGGTTTTGCAACTAGAGTTCTGCAGGCACTAAGGAAAATACATAGCTCAGGAATTGAGTTGAACTTTGTCCGCCCCACTCCTCCCCCCCTTGAAACATGTTCTTAACATAAAACCTGCAAACTGGACTGGAGTTGTACATGAACAAACAGTGTGGAAATTTTCAGTACTGAATTGACGACATTGATGTGATTTAAGTTAAATGTTAGCCATTTTGGAGTCAGCAAGCCTAGAAGAAAGTGTCCAGCAATCTACAGGCTATCTATCCAGATCATTCTTTCCCTCCTGACCACCTTTAGGGATTTATTGGCAGAGGTGAGAATAGTTGTAAATACTTTAATGGATTTTTAACCATTTTGTAATCAAATGAATGATTAAACTTAACTTTTAAAATATATTTTCAGTGAAATTTGTTCATGATTAAATCTTGGCTATGCAGTGTAGGAGGCTTTGGAATATTTTAAGAATTATTATTTAATATTGTTACCTTTAATTTTAAAGTGATTTGGTCTGTACGTTTTCACTGTTGATAGACGAGTCCACCTCATCAAGTGCTCCACAACCACGTGTAGTATGTTCGTATTAGTGTTAAAATTCTAACAAAAATGGTATGTGCACGTGATACAAGTGAAAGTTCAAATAAGATAATTAATTTTTTTCAGATAAATGCTCCTACAGGATTGAGGACTTTTCCAGTCAGTAAACTGGACAAGCGGAAAAATTGCTTCACTGCACTCCACTTCCATGCCTAGGAAAACTTAGCTTTAAGGGAAAAAATGGTGCTTCTAGATAGATTTTAATCAAATAGTGCAGCAAAAGTGACAAATGAATGTTGTTTAATTGTAGAAACAATTCAAGTATAAAATAAATGTACAATAGTAAAAAAGGATTTTTTTGTTTGCATCTCAAATTACCCTATTTAATCTGACAAGGCCAGATCACCTAATTTCGGATAGTCGGAATTCTACTGAAACAGGATGTATTTATTATTTTGACATGAGGCTTTTGCGGATATTGGTAAAGAAATTTGAATCTTGAGGAAATACCAAGGATCTGCTATAATTGAATTAAGCTGCCCTCTACCTATGTGTGCATAAAAAAGCTACATAGAATATTGTTGTAAAAGCTTTCAGACCAGTGCCAGAGGTGGAAGAGGAAATAAGGGGCTTCATCCTTAGAACATGTCAGGATCAGATGGTATTTTATCTTGTTTTTTTTATTGTTTGTAAGATATGATTAGTAACTCAACATTAATACAAGTTTGGTTGAGCCTCATTGATCAACTGAGATCGCAAGTACCAGAATTCTATAAAGTAATTTTGAAGCGTTTTCCCTGCTAAAAGTGCCTTAGTTTGTTTAGTGACAAAAAAAAATATTTTATTCCCTCTTTCAGATATTTAAAGTGAAATATTTTCTTGAACTTGGTTGAATTCTTATTCTTCCTTATCATTCTCTCTATTTTGGGATACATTAAGCACATCAAGACATAGAAATAAATTTTTAAAATGATTTCTAACATACAATTCTGACAAATCTCACTAACATAATTGTATTTCATCAGCTTGTTTCAAGCTCTATCACATAATTTAATACCTGTAGTAGGTAATAATTACAATGTCTATACAACCTAGAGTTAAAATATTGTATAACATATTTCAATGAGCATGCTATCGCCACTAGCTATGTTTGTATTATCTTAGACTAATGATAGAAATAGACATACCATCCCAAGGTTTAAGTTGTTGCGGGTTTTTAATAAAAATGGAATGTTGGATTGAGCAGATTGGGCTGATGTAAATTGCTGAATTCTGTTGAACTGAAGACTGTTCAACAAATTCAAACTGATAGAACCACTGATTGTATGCTATAGCATATTTTCCGTCAGGTAAACTATTTCAGTAACAAAAAATAGAGCTTTAGACTCACACTACGGTCCACAAGAGTCTGCAGTTAAGGGAGGAGCCTATTTACCACGTGACTTCAAAGCCAATGAGGACAGTGCGGTGTACCCAAATCTAATTATACCAGCTGATTAAAAAAAAATACTGTTTAGTATATTTTGTATTAGTGTTGAAAATTAGTGAAGGGCGATGTTGCAACGTACAGTCTTGCTATTGGCTGCCGCCAACTGCAGACTCTTGTGGCCCCTAGTATGGTGACCTCTTTGACTTGCTCATCCATATTTTCTTTAATGGTAGGCAACAGCTGGTCCATATGGTTGGGTTGTCCAATTCGGTATCCAAAAATCAATAGTACAACCTAACAGGAACACCAACTTGAATCACTAGAACTGCCAGAAATACCCGGACGATAAGAACTGCCAGATTTACCCGAACCACCAGAACTACCAGTAGATCTAGAGATAGAAATTATATCGGCTCTATGTAACATGGTATTATTTTCTAGTGATGATGAAGGGCCAATAGCCATCAGTGGACGTTGTCGTGTAAGCTTGTGAGCTAAAGTGAGGAAGATGGCATCTATGTTGCTTGCTTCACTGTCTGTCTGCGCTGACGTCTCAAACAGCTGAAATGAAAACAGTTAATAAATGGGTTTTACAAAAACTATTTTTGATAACTTGATAGTTGTAAAAAATCTTTTTCTAAATAATACATTGAGGAAGAGGGGATGCATACATGACTCTTACCGAAGAAAAGCGTTCAAGGTAGTTGAAAGTACACAACACTTGATAGCCTATTTCGCCTCTAGGGGATTTTTCAGAAGAAAGAAGCAGAATGGTAGTTACACTGTTTACTGCCATTTTACTTCTTTCTTCTGAAGAAAAATAACCACGTCCTAAATCTTTATTTGAGAAGGTTCGAATTTTTAAATTTAGGTTCATGTAGTGTTTTTCAACATCAACAGTCCTGTAACTTTATTATGAATAAATAGTCCTTAGCTCTGGTTTTCCGAGAGGAAAACTGAAGAAAAGATCTCAAGCAAAATAATTTATTTCTAGAAGGAGCTAGACAAAATTGGTTGCTCTTGACTTAATATCCTAAGTGTAAGAATCATTTTAGGCAGTCAGTCTAGACAGTAGAACCCAATTATCCAAACTCCAATTTAAAAAAACCTATAATTAGAGTTCAATTCAATTATATTCAATTCGTTTATTAACGGCATAAACCAGTTTACACTTTGTAGTTATAAGATCGTCTAAAATATTGTTATTAAAGAAGGCAGAAGCTGAGATTGTAGCCAAATCCTGAACACCTCTTGTGGTTAGTAGAGACATCTTCATCATCATTTTCCCTTTGTCAGGGAAAAATAATAATTGTCTTCCGTTATGGTGGAAAAATCAAGAATACCACTAACAAGTGTAAACATCATCATCGTCTTCCGGCGGAAAAACTTGGGAATCTCCCGCGGTCATGTAGACATCATCATCGTCTCCCGCTTTTCACAAAAACTATATCCTTGTCTTTGCAATTGCGAGAGAACCATGAATTTCTCTATTGTGACATTTTTGCAGACACATTCTATGATTACGATAGTAAAGTTTAGCTCGAGCTTTCTACTTAACAACTTATATTAACACTATTATAATTATAGTATGAGCAGTACAACTTGGAAAAAGGGTCTGTTTTTTATAAAAAAAAGTACAGTACCTACAAAAAACAAAATAGTATTTTCAACAGAACACCAAAAATTTAGATAACAATGCAACCATCCAAACTTTTGACTACCAGTACCTGAAAACTTAGTATATTCCAATTGATTCGAATGATTAGAGTTCTACACTAATTTAAGTTACTGCATCTTACAGGCATATTGTGAGAGTCCGCTAGTCGCTGGGCCAAGTTGGTACTGACGGCTACAGACTCCACACAATCACACTTGTTACCTACTAATATCCTGGGGATTTGTCTGGTTATATTGTGTCTTTCACACTCCTCCAGCCACACTGGGACATTCTGTAACAAAACCGTAAATTGACTAGTCACAAAAATGTTCAATTAATAAAATATGCCTATAGAAATAGTTCTTTAGAAGAAAAAAACAAAGTAACCCTTCTCCAGTTACCCCTCCGTGTAGATTAAAAGATAAAATGTTAGCCTGCTATAAAAACTACAAGGTAATTTATACAGTGGAATAGTACAAATATCAGTTTTAAAGGTTGGTCTTGTTAGCAGAATAAATAATTAAAGCTTTTTAGTCCAGGCCTACTCCTTTATTTTGGGCAGTCGTCTTACAGTACAATCGAATATAGACTATGCAATATACAATCTATATACAAATACAATAGAATCAGGTTTATTCTGATTACGACCATCAAAATCAGCAAATCACGATCCTTCATCGAAGTTTCGGCCTCGATGTAGAGTGCCCCCCTAAGGGTGACTTGACTTCCGCAATTCTACAATAAGTGACTGTGAAAGCCTATTCGGGAGGATTACTTAAGCCAAGTTAAATTATGACTATCATAGGCCTACCTGGAACGTGGACATTTTAGTGACATCGTACACAATGACAACAGCATGAGCATTTCTGTAGTAGTGTTGAACCATTGCCTTGCGGAATCGTTCTTGGCCTGCGGTGTCCCACAGCTGAAGCTGGAAGTAAAAGAAAATTAGGCCTACTAATGATCCTGCCAATAACCGTAAATAACACACAATTTTAGTTTACAAACTACCGTAATCCACATCCCTGTTCAAGTTTTGAACAGGCCTGCAGGAATATGAAAAAGAATCATTTCTCCTCAAATTAAAATCCTTGTAAAGGTTCCGAACTTAGCAAGTACGGGAAGTCAAATCGATTAAACTAATATGAAGATTCTGTTATAAATTCTTAACCCCGTCACTTTGAATGAGCTAGGCCTACATCGCTAAACTTCTAGATCACGCTGCCTTTCTGGTATGGGTAACTTACTTAGGATAAAAGGTCTGACCTACTAAGATAACTTAGCCTACTCTAAATTACTAGGTAGGCTAACTTAATTTTAACCATGTAGTGAAAGAATGTTGTTAACATATTTTGTAGCCTATGACGATTGCTCAGAAATGTACAAAGTACCTAGCCTAATAAGTTGCATATTCTGCAGGATCAAATGCTAGTGTTGCCTATTTCTGCAGGCTAGGCCTATTCATCATTTTATTAGAATTAATTAGGTATTTTTTAAATCCGGGTATTTGATAAGCGGCGGAGACCTGTAGCGGTATGTCTTAATTCAGTTACTCCAATCCTAGGTCAACAGAAACATTGGAAAGAACAAATTACCCATCCTAACTTTATTATACACAGAATAGGCTACATCAGAGAGTGTGGCAGTAGGATAATTTTAACCCTTAGAGTGCCAGGCGAGAAATAAAAGTAACTCTCAAAAAATGCCGATGATTTTTCCCGAAGGTCGCGCTAAAAATGCCGAGCGCGATCTGGCGATTTTTAGGTTAAAATTTCGTAAAAATCGAATTTTCGATATTTCGACCAACGAAAATCGATGTATCGCATCTAGTAACTTTCGACTCAATGTTAATATAACTTATGGGTTAAAAGAATCCGAGTATCCATTCGGTTGTTATGACAACTGTTCGATCATTACGAAACGTCCGGTCAGCCGGACGTTGGCACTTTTGGCTCGTTCTAAAAACGTCCGGTCGGCCGGACGTCGGCACTTTTGGCTCGTTTTAAAAACGTCCGGTTCCCCGGACGTTGGCACTCAAAGGGTTAAGGTTTGGTATCGTTAAGTGAGTTAAAATTAGAGATAAAAAGAAAAACAGGCCTAGGCTAGAAAACTTACTTTAACTTCCTCCCCTCCAATGTTTACGACCCTTTCTCGAAAGTCTACTCCTATGGTTGCTTCAGGTTGCGTCTGATATTTTCCATCACAAAACCTGTATGTCAAACATGTTTTCCCAACGTTTGAATCCCCGACGACAATAATTTTAAATGTCTTCTTCTCTTTTTGGAAATTCATGCCTCCTTTACCTATTTAAAACGTAGAAATCACAAGACTTTTTTGCAGATAAACCAATAGGATAACGTAAGATTATATTGTATGGATCTAAATTAGCATCCTAACAAAAGGCTGTGCTACAAAATGTTATTTCCTTATGATAGGCCTACTACAACCTAGTAAGTTATCCTTTTATGTTTGAGGTTAATCACAATCAATGCCTAATAAATAACATTGAATTGTCTTCAAGACATTCTCGCGTGCTAATAACATCCACAATATTATTTTGCCTAAACTGACTGAAAATATCAACCGCAAAATTGTCGAATCATATCGTTATTCCATTTAAAACTAAGTTATTTGCAATAGCACATAACAGTCATAACACTAACACATAAAAACAGTACTTAGTAAGGTACTTAGTATTTAGCAATGGCAAAGCAAACAAGAAGAAGAACAAGAAGGAGCAAAGAAAAACAAAAAAACGCAAAAATTTAAAGCCCCCCACCCCCACACACGGAATGGACACACGGAAGGGACTAAGGCTAAAGGTGTAGTGACGTCATATCTCTAATGGGTAATGTCTTCTCTTGAGGCGACACGATTACCGTTACCAAACGATGTGATTTCAGCGGCGTTCGTGGCATAGTTGGTAGCGTATCGGATTGATGTGCAGGAGGTCCCGGGTTCGAATCCCGCTGGTAGCATTGACTTTTTGTCAACAAATTTTTCATATCAGCAAGTTTGGTTGGTTAGGTTAGGTTATGACAGTTTAATTTTAAAAATTAAAAATTTATTTTATAATTTTAAAACAATATTTTATAATTAAAAAGTTAATTTTATAACTAAAAAAAAAAATAATTTAAATTATTTCAACTTAGCAGTTCTAGCGGCGAACGCTGACACTACAAGATATGTTAGCCTTAGTCCCTCCCGTGTGCCCCAACGCCCCACACACTACCAGACCAGACCTCCAGACCAGACCGTCTGGCTGCAACCAGACTGTCTTGGACGGCTCTACACACTCCCAGACCAGACGGTCTAACATTCGTAATCGAGAGACCGTGGTGAGAACTCCAACAAATGGATGAAGACTGTCACGATAGTCGGCCGTCTGACAGACAGCGCTACACACTCACAGACCAGACAAAAATAGTGGTGGGGGAACCTCAGACCGTCTGTGGTCTGAGGGTTCAACCATCAGACACGCAGACCGTCTGGTCCGAGAAAATCGGTCTGCAGACAGTCCCACACACGATAAGACAAGTGCCAGACGCCAGACCAGACGGTCTGGTCTGTAGGTCTGGTCTGGTAGTGTGTGGGGGGCTTAATAGTTGTTTTTTTTTAGTCAGTGACCTTTTTCTTGATTGCTTGCAAGTGCTGGCTTGGTTAAACTACCATGTAGCAGCACTATTTAAACTAGTATCAAGCACGACACGATTATATTAATTTTTTTACGAAGAGATCAGTCATGGTGGAAATCAGTAGGATCAGACAACAGAGGTGGTGCTGAGGGCTGTGCACAGCAATTTTGCACCATGTCTGCCTTACTTAACTCCAAATACATGTACAGAGTGAGGCAATGAAACACGGCCACCTTTAACTCCAGGCCGCGGCCTTCGAAGTGGCAACGTCGCAAGTGGGGTTGTAACAGCTGTTAAGTTTGGCAGCAGCTAATGGTATTTGTGAATTTACGAAAGCTTGGTTACTGGACTATGAAAATATTTACTCTGCTTTAAAGTTACAGATATAGATTTTCAATTCATATTGTTTTGGTTTTCAATTCTGGATGTTTTATTTTCAACTGGATAAGGGTGAAAACCATCTGTGCGACGTTAAGAGCCAGCAGCATGTGTCTAAGGAGGACAAGAAAGAAGTGGAGGACCCTTAGAGAGTTCGAAGATGGGGCTGGAGTACCAGCTTTTTATTAATCTAAATAGAAAAAGTTTTATTATTTTTTCATGTAAAAAAATGTAAATAAAGATTGCTTGTTTGTTCTAGTCTTTTATTTTCAATATTCTTATAAATTTATGTCCATAAATTTAAATAAATAAAGTGCGAATTTGTTAGGTACCAAATTTTGAGGGGGGTAAAAACGTACTATGAATAAATGAACACCAGAACTTACCCGATTTTTAACCACAATAGCCTACTCCGAGGCCTATGTGTTGGCCATAGCTTGGGCTATGGGCCAAAGAACGTAGGCCTATTTTTATTCACAGTGAAGTATACAAACACATCCACAACTACATATTTTTCATAATAGCACTTCGTTTCACATAATAAAGTTAAACCGACCGATTTTACAGATATTTAACGCCGCCGACGACATAACCCCAAACTGGTGTTTATTTGTTTGACCAACGACAGACGACAACTAGACCGGCTCAACAGGTGAATTTCCGATCAGCTGTTGGCTAGTTCTCGAACTCACCACCAGAGCGATTAAGCCTCGACCGAGGAAATCATGATTTGAGCCGGACAAGATTATTCGCTGTTCGACCGTCGACTCGTTAACGAGAAGCCTCTTCGCACAACGAAACTAACTTCGTCATACGATATCGATTCAGGTTAGCTACGTTTTCAGACTTTCCTACTTTTTTTTTAAATATTCTTTTTCCAACATACGCATACTCGTCTGCCATTTATTTTATCCGTTTACGTCCGATTATAATTTTCTAAATTTTATTAACTTAGTTCTTGCCGACTCGTACAAAACCCGCCAGTTCCTGCCTGCCAGTGACTAGCGGTGGATATTTTTCGGCACTCTTAAACCAATTGGCTATTAAATTACGTTAATTCGGTTCGTTTCACGATTAAATTATTACTTAAGTTACTCCAGTTAATTCGACGTTTTAATACCCCGAGACTCGTCGTCTGAGTTCTAAACCCCGTCTTTGGCGGGTGAAAGAATCGAGTCTTGGGAGCAGGCTGAGTTGAATAATCAGCTACAAAAATTAGTATTAAATTTATTTTAAACCACTCACGTTAAATTATCCGTCCAATTATATTAATTAGGCCCCGACGACTCTGTAGGAATTGCTTCTTACATTAGATTCGATTTTATTATCCACCACCGTCTTTAGCCAGATAGTTTACAGTTTAATACGAGTATTTATATCACATTGGCTTAAGATTGAATACTCGTCGGCCCTACAGAGTCATTCTAAAAGTTAGGCAAAATTATCCAAAACACGTTAGCGAAGGTGAGGATGAAATAGCTCCTACTGAGCGTCTGCAGGATTTCCTGAGCGCTTCTAGAGCTCTGAGCCTTCGATTAAAATTTTAAATAAATTGATCAGTCAAAGCCGTGACGACTTCGTATCGACCCCTGGATTTTTCTCGGCTCCTTCTGAGCACTCCGGGGAAGAAATTTGAGTGTGGCCGGTTCTAGGGGTAGGCCTAGCCTGACTTGGTGAATACTAGTTTATTCCCCCCCTAGAATTTTGCGTCACATCTCTGGCACCCGAACAGGGACTCGAAAACACGGTTTTGACTTTGACATTTAAACGAAATTACGAGATAAACGAAATCTACGACGACTTCGACTACTACGACGACCATTACTCGACCCGATACGTTATCGATTAGCCACGTAACGATAGACACGGTGGAAATTCAAACGTTGACGACTACAACTACGACGAAATTTCTGAAATAATGCCTTCGACGATGGAGAGCTTAGCGAGATCGCCGATAGACGACCCGCCTGTCGGTTGGATCCACACTTTGAGCAGACAATAATAGCTGAGATGACGAAGTATCGGCTGGGAACTGGGAGTAGCGTCGCCGAGCTTCGCAAACGCTTTTGCGAGTCTTTGAGAAACCCGTTGGGAAGCATCGGTCAGCCGATGAACCCGACGGTGACTAAGATATCGTGGACTACCGCTTATGCGGCCCATGATAGCCGAATTTGACCGCAGTTGCTGAAACCTCCAACGCACCAGGAGACGGCCAGCATGCGAGATATACTCGGGACTCCCACCGAACATTCTTCACCCGTTCGACGAACCCTCGAAGTGTTGGTAAAGCTGCCAGCCAACATCCCGTCGCCCTGGCAAGATATTCCGTCGCGCATCACGTTTTTCGGTCCAACGACGGAACACGATCACCACATAACGTTCGATAGACGCAACGATTTACCCGACGCCGTACGACCTCCGAGTGGAGCCGTTTGCTCCATTTCATAACGCAATTCACGGGAACCGTCAGCCGCGAACGCGCCCCAGAGATGACCGACCCTTCGTCGACGCGGTCATCTCAGGTGAGACGTTCAGCGCCCTCGTCGATACCGGCTCGTCAGTCAGTCTGATTGGAGATCGTACGTCACCTTCGGACGTGCGGCGTCGTACCCGACCAGGCTGACGTCAACCAACGAACGGACAACGCAGCGTGTGTTTCAGATCGGTACCGAGTAGACGACGAAATCGCTGGCCAACCTTATTCGCGGGATATCCACGTCCCGGGCCTAAGTGTGGAGGTGGTACTCGGCATTCGGTGTACTGCTGACCTCGCTCTAGTCAGAGTACACACCGTAGTACGAAACCTCCACAACGACGATGTCTCCCCGCCCTTTCCGGTCAAAAACATCAACCACGAAATCCAAATTTTCAAAATTACACGAAATTTGCAGAATTTCTGGAACGCGAAATACCGCTGTTTGACAACGATTAGGGGTAGTCGGCGTTGACTGAGCAGACGCAGTGGCTCAGGGCAATTGCAACCCCTGTCAAACAGAGGTACCCCAGAAATCCTGTAACGCAATTTATCGTAAAGGACCGCTTTCCCGAGGCAACCCGTGGCAAACGGGGGCCAAACGGGCCTGGCCACGGTGAGTCACCTCACATCGGAGGTGGCCGACGTGCCTCGTGAACGTTCCAACGTGCTAATTCGCCGAGACCGGAAAGACGACGCATCGAGGCTAACCGCGACGAACGACGGCCAATCGGGCCTTGTCGTGGTGAGTCACCTCACATCGGAGGTGGCCGACGTGCCTCGTGGACGACGCCCGACACGACGTAGATTCTTCAAAACCGAACAGCCGATCGAACAACGCAACGAACTCCGACGCACGCCCTGACGGAGCTGGTGATATCCCTCCCGTTGGTTGATACGATACGATCCGAACGATTACGACTAAACGACGACTTCTACAGGCACCCCTTCTTCGAGACCATTCCGACCCCGTCCGAACCCCTACGTTTTAGATCTTTTTTCCTTTTTTTTTGCTGAAGTTGGTAAGGGGTGTAAGGTACCAAATTTTGAGGGGGGTAAAAACGTACTATGAATAAATGAACACCAGAACTTACCCGATTTTTAACCACAATAGCCTACTCCGAGGCCTATGTGTTGGCCATAGCTTGGGCTATGGGCCAAAGAACGTAGGCCTATTTTTATTCACAG